AGCCTTGCAGCTCCATCACAGCCGCCAGGGAGGACAGCCAGTCGACTCGGGTCAGGCCGAACGAGGAGCTTCGAAGGCAGCGCTGTCGTCTCCTGCGTCTCCTTGCATTCGACTCGCTGCCTCGTCTTTCGCTCGCTCGCTCACTCGTCCTCTCTCTTCTTCACCCACAGCCGCCCTGCCTTGTCTTCTTACATCTCAGACAGACAGACAGACAGACGGATAGACGGCAAGCCCTCGAGGCCCGATAAAGGGGGACCGACATCCCCGTGGAAATCTCGCTGCATCTCTCTCGCCTGCTCCCTTGCTCTGCCGTACGGGATCTCCCCGCCACCACAGCTGCTCCAGCTTACGCCTCGACCGCCATCAACTTCTCTTCACCTTCTACAACTACCCGCCCGTCTCCCAGAGCTGCCTGGTGTCTCTCTGCCAGCTCGGGTCCCTCGACTCCCTCTTGCTGCTCGCCTCGATCCTCTACTGCCTCTGTGGTTGACTCACGTGGCTTTTCTTTGCAGTTTACCATGTCCTCTCCCGCTCCCGCTCCCGTCCTCAAGACTCCGGTGCCTGGCGCACATCGCAACAACAAGCTCCCATCCCTCACATTGGGCATACCGCCGTCTCCCAATGCCAAACCGGTCAACCAGACGGGCGTGGCAGCCCCGGGTCCGGCACCGGCACCGGCCCTCGCCATCAACATTCCCCAGAAGCCCGCCAGCAGAGCACCCCCAAAGCTGAGACTGGCTACCCCCATGGGCGCCACGGGCGGCGGCAACAAGCCTGCATTCCAGGATGCCAACGCTCTGCACAACGGCCGCCCCATTCCACATTACTACAATTCAACAGGCTCGTCAAACAGCAACAGCAACGGCCAGAATAATAACGTACACTCACGGTCGGGAAGCTTTACCGGCCCTGACGCCAGGGGTAGCGGGCCTCCCACCTCGGCCAGCTCGTCCACTTACTCTGCTCCTTCCTTTGCCTATGGCTTCGACAGCCCTACGCTTCGACTCCCGACCCTTCCTCGGCCATCAGCTCAGTGTACTCGGATCTAGGCGATGGCTCGGCCATGGAGAGAGAAAATAGTGTCAACGGCCTGACGGACCTTGACAAGCTCAGCCAGGAACTTGGACGGCCGCTGGACGTGGAAGACTTGGATGATGAGCGGTGGTTGGCTGCCAGTGAACAGGGCAAGATCATCGAGCTCGGCAGTCTCGGTGAGGGTGCCGGTGGAGCTGTCACTCGATGTCTGCTCAAGGGTGGAAAGACCGTTTTTGCTCTAAAGGTGAGAGGTCTCTCTTTTCTCTTCTCTCTTCTATAAATGGGATAAGATACTAACTTCTATGACTAGATCATCACAACCGACCCTAATCCAGATGTCAAGAAACAGATTGTTCGAGAACTTAATTTTAACAAGGGATGTGCTTCAGACTACATATGCAGATACTATGGTGCGTTCGTCGACCGGTCAAGCAGCTCGATATCCATCATCATGGAGCTATGCGAAGGCGGCAGTCTGGACAGCATATACAGAGAAGTTAAGAAACTCGGTGGTCGAACCGGAGAGAAGGTGCTCGGAAAGGTTGCAGAGGGCGTCTTGAACGGCCTGACATACCTCCACGGCCGAAAGATCATCCACAGAGGTATAGTCGCCACTTATATTTCGTTGAAATTACTATTTTCTAACGCGTATCTACAGATATAAAACCATCAAACATCCTCCTCTGCCGCAACGGCCAGGTCAAACTTTGTGACTTTGGTGTAAGCGGTGAATTCGGAACTAAGGGCGATGCAAACACTTTCATTGGCACTTCCTACTACATGGCCCCTGAGAGAATCACCGGACAGTCTTACACCATCACCTCCGACGTCTGGTCCCTCGGAGTTACACTGCTTGAAGTTGCACAGCACCGATTCCCCTTCCCCGCCGACGGGACAGAGATCCAGCCTAGATCGGTCCTCATTGACCTTCTCACCTACATCATCCATCAGCCCATTCCGAAACTCAAGGACGAGCCTCACAACGGCATCCACTGGAGTGACAACTTTAAATACTTCATCGAGTGCTGGTATGTACAACTAGAGCCTGCTATTCTTCATATTAGTATCACAGCTAACATGTCTATTCCAGCTTGGAGAAAGACCATCCCCGACGAGCCACGCCCTGGCGAATGCTAGAACACCCATGGATGCTTGAAATAAAGAACAAGAAAGTGAATATGGCGCACTTTTTGAAGCAAGTATGGGGCTGGAATGATTAGAATCCCCACACAAAGCAAGCGAACACAACAAGTAAAAAAAAAAATCGAAAAGAACCAAAAAAAAAAAAAAAAAAAAAAAAAAAGGCAAGGAAAGAAAAGCACTTGTTTTTAGAATGAGCCGTTTTTTATTTCTCAAGTCGAGCGGGCGCTGGGACGACCCGTTTAAAGCAACATTGAAATAACCCTACCGCAGCCATCAACACGACACCCATCCCTGGTTCATCATCAATCTGCCACTTACTCATTTCATCCATCGTGGCTGGGATATTTCATTACGAAAAGAAATCATGCTCTTCTCCAACTTTCTATCTTAACGACTTTCGGACAACACGACTTCGATGAACTCACCACCCCTGCTCACTTTTATGTTGACCAACTGACGACACCACGTACCCTCCCTCCACCAATTTAACTCAACATACATATTCACGCATCAAGCCTGACGGCTTGTCTGTCTGTTTATTTTCGATCATCTACCCTGCAGTAGTCGGAGTCCGGATACCTTTTTTTTTATTCAATATTCTTTCTTTCAACTTTCCATCGGTTTCATTTCCCTTCTCATTCTCGATCTTCTTCTACGTTTTATCTCTTTTCTCACATCTTTTGAGATATAACTTACTATAAATGAGAACTATGAATACTTAGTTTGTTTCTACCTATTTCCCTTACTTTTCCCCCTTTCCTTTCTCTTGGCTACTTCTAATCCTACCTTCTTTTGATACTTTATGTTAACTAGCACAGCACAGCACAGCGCATTTATATTAATATCTACTTACTACTCATTTACTCACCTTATTTAGACCAACTTACTTTGCTCACCTTGCATTCCTCTGGCTCTTCTCTTCTTCTCTTCTCTGCCATCATTCTATATCATAACAACCTTCAACCAGTCAATTAATATCAGTCAGGCCCTTATACGCATCACAGTCCCCCTGATCCGGCTGCTTCACTTTGTTTCCGGCGCATATTTATAGATGGGAAGCGAGAGGTTAATAACTCCCCTGTTTTCAAACACATCGAACCCTCGACATGGCATCCAAACGAACACCTGGCAAGATTTCAAGCTGCCCCTGGCTCCTCAACGTTTCAGCAGCGGTCAGTGTTATCTATGTAGCTGAGGAATTTGTTAGCTTATATAAGCTTGAATCCTCTATCACGTGCAAATTACGTAACTCTGGCATCATAGTTGCCCTCGTCCCTCTCTCAGCCTCTGTATGGAAATCTATTAGTATGATTAAAACTGCGGGAGATTCCATCACTTGGAAGCTATTTTGTCAAAGGGCAAGCAAGAAAGATAGCGAGCGTTGCCTATGCGTAATAGTGATGAGCAATCGTTAAAGAAAGGCATGTTTAGGCTGTTTTCTTTCCCTCTTCCTCTTTGTTTTCCTGTGAGCTACCAGTCTTCATTGTGAACCTGCCCGGTACTAGATACCCCATGGACTTACTCCATACAACCCGGCTATCTGAACTTCCATTAGATGCTCAGCGAGTAGCTCTCTAAACACTGCTACCATATATCTCTTCATCTTCTTGCTTCTAATATCGTAGTACTTTTAGTTGTACGCGTCACAAACCCCGCCTGACTTTGAATAACCAGCAGCCATTCGGCAACCTCGGAAAAGGAGTGCAAAGAGCCGCTGTCTACTACCGCATTAACAATGGGCCATCTAGCGTGCGTAGCGACCTGTTCGCTTCGAAACTGGGCTCTTGACTTTGAAGGAAATACCAATCGCATCATCGAGAGCATACACAAAGCAAAAGCTGCTGGCGCGACGCTCAGAGTTGGCCCCGAACTTGAAATATGCGGCTACTCATGTCTTGACCATTTCTTTGAAGCAGACCTATACCTTCATTGCTGGGAGATGCTATGCATTATTCTCAAGGACAGAAGCTGTGATGGAATCCTCCTCGACATCGGGATGCCGGTGATGCACCGCAACAACCGATTCAATTGCCGAATCATCTGCTTGGACGGGAAGATCTTGCTCATCAGACCGAAGTTATGGCTCGCAAATGATGGAAATTACCGAGAAATGAGACACTTCATACCCTGGGTTGGGCCAAGGCATGTTGAGGAGTACTATCTGCCCAGGATGGTGAGAGAGATTCAGGGCACGACCAAAGTACCTATTGGTGACGCAGTGATATCAACGGCAGATACGTGTGTTGGCATGGAAACCTGTGAAGAGCTGTTCACGCCACAGTCGCCTCATAATGATATGAGTCTGAATGGTGTGGAGATCATGGCCAATTCATCCGGGTCCCATCATACTCTGAGAAAGCTTGATATCCGAGTTAGTCTTATCATGGAGGCTACGAGGAAGAATGGGGGCGTTTATCTGTACGCGAACCATCTGGGTTGCGATGGGGATCGACTTTATTTCGATGGAAGTGCGATGATCATTGTCAATGGATGTCTAGTTGCACAGGGAAATCAGTTCACTCTTGACGACGTTGATGTTGTCACTGCAGTCGTGGATCTGGAGGAGGTCCGGTCTTATCGATGCACACCATCTCGAGGCCACCAGGCTATGAAGGCTGGTGTTTATACTCGGGTAGAGACTGAGTTTAGCCTGAGCTCCGACATAGGCGACCGTGATACTAGACTACGACCCAGTCCGGTAATACAGCCACGGTACTACTCTCCGGAAGAAGAAATTGCGCTGTCAACGGGATGCTGGTTATGGGACTATCTTCGACGCTCTGGCACCGCAGGGTACCTTGTTCCGCTATCAGGAGGAATTGATAGTTGTGCTACTGCAATGACTGTGTTCTCGATGTGTCAGCTTGTCATCGATGCCATCAAAGCTGGGAATTCGCAAGTAATCAAGGACTGCAAACGATTAGCAGACTACACGCTGGAGCTACCAAAGACACCCCAGGAGCTATGCAACCAGGTCTTGCACACCGTATATATGGGTATGTCGAAGCAGTCCTCCAAAGAAACCCGTGGACGTGCGCAAGATCTCTCCAAAGCTATAGGCTCCTACCACGTCGATCTAGATATCGATGAGGTCTACGAGGCCCAGAAGAACCTCATCGTTAAATATCTGAATTTCGACCCCAAATTCAAGAGCCAAGGCGGCACCAATGCGGAGAATCTCATGCTGCAAAATATCCAAGCTCGCAGCCGCATGGTCACAGCGTACGAGTTCGCTCAGATGCTTCCTACCACCCGCAAGAGGCCACACGGTGGAGCCCTGCTAGTCCTAGGATCTGCAAACGCTGGAGAGGCACTCCGCGGCTATTACACAAAGTACGACTGCTCCAGCGCCGATATCAACCCTATCGGCGGTCTTGATAAAAGCGATCTCAAATTATTCATTGCGTGGGCTGAGAAATCCTACTCAATTCCTTGCTTGCGAGGATTCCTCGAAGCTACCCCCACAGCCGAGCTTGAGCCTATCACCGAACAGTACGTTCAAAGCGACGAGGCAGATATGGGCATGACCTATGACGAACTATCTACCTTTGGCCGCCTGCGAAAGTACAACAAGCTTGGGCCGTATGGGATGTTTCAGCGTCTTGTGCATGACTGGAACCACCTCACGCCCCAGCAGGTGGCTGAGAAGGTCAAAAGGTTCTACCATTACTATGCCATCAATCGACACAAGATGACGACCTTGACGCCGGCCCTGCACTCAAACGATTACAGCCCCGACGACAACAGGTTCGATCTGAGACCGTTTCTGTACTTCCCGTTTTACCAGTCATGGGGCTTTAAGAAGATTGATGACGAGCTGGCACGTATTAAAAAGCAGGCCAAGCAGTGAGGTATCATTATTGTTATTATTGTTATTGGTAGGCGGCTAGCTGTGAAAATTTTCGATGCAGGAAGATAGAAAAAAAGCAGGCAAGGCCTAGGCCCTCGGTCCCACGGAAATGTTGAGGAGTTAGTTACTAGGTACTAGCTCTTAGACTTCACTCATCAGCTCTTGGAAATGAATATTGCAGCTCATACTTCCCTCTATTACCCGCTCACCAGTACCGTATATACAGCTATCATCGTAGATGTCTCCGGCTCGTTCCAAGGTACGGAGCATATATGGTCGATGCCTGTAATCCTCCAGTACTTACCTACAATACCTATGGGAAGGACAGCCAGGGTTGGCCCGGCTCATGTATCTTCACGTGATCTTTACGCTGACTCATCTCGCTAGCAAACGAAAATCCCGGAAATCCCGGAAATCTCCGGCTCTTTCGTCAAATTCGGGACAACGAGGAGATCAGGCCATCCGCCTGTCCAGGCACATCTGGCAGCCAAAAAGCCTGCAGCAAGAATAAATGGACGTTTGCTCTGGCTCCCTGCGCCAGCCCTGCCGGTATCTCGCCTAATTCTCCGCCACTGGTCTCCTGCTCTTGTCTCTTCCAATTTCTTTACAGCAGTTCCACTTGCACCCATGCAATTTATGGGGGAAAAGTGGGCAAAGATGGATGACCGGCAGGATTTTTGATACCCCGGCACAGGGGCTGCTGGAATCACGAAGAGTTTTTAGCTGCAGCTTTTCGCTTCTTTTTGAGGGAAAATAAGAGAATATAAAGAAAAGCCGTTGACTCTGTATATATCTCCGCGGAATTGACTTTTTTACACGCCATTCTTTTCTTCATGTCATTCCACTTTCTGCGCTGGATCCGGCACATGTAGCAACCTACCCCTGGTGATAGCAAATTGAAATAACCCCATTGGCCGGTTGCGAGTGAGTACCTCTTGCTTCCGTGCCAGCTACTAATTTTCACGAAATGACGTCTTAGAAGTCATTCACCGGTCAGTCTCCAAAGGACCAATGTTGGGTATATAAAGAGAGTATCTCTTCACTGTCTCCTTCCTTTCACTTCTCCTTCTTCACTTCCATCACCTTCATAGCCAACATCCAACATTCGAAAGTATAACGTTCAAAACCAGAGACCCCAATAACCACCTACCACTTACCAAGTTGATCACCATGACTGTTGCAGACAGCGTTATCCAGCACGTTGACGAGCAGCAACTGGAGACTTGCCTCGCCAGCCGAGTCAACTATCTCAAAGCCTTCCTCAAATTCACTGATGAAGATGGAGCTGCCATCCAAAGCGCAAAGGGGCTCATTGCTCCTGCTCTCCCAGCGATACTCGATACCATCTATACGAACCTAATTGGGTTCGACGTCACTGCCAAATCCTTTGTGCCCCCTCAGCCAGAGCAAGATAAATCCACCGTTTCTGCAACCACATCCATTGCTGATCTGTCCCTCACTCACCCTAATATCCTGCACCGCAAGGACTTCCTCAAGTCATATCTCGTCAAGCTCGTGAGCAACAGTGATTGGTCTGACAACAGCAAGTTTTGGGAATATCTCGACAAGGTTGGTGTGATGCACACCGGCAAACCCGGCTTCAAGCACCGTGAGAAGAGGCCCGAGTTGCGCGTGGAGGTGATGCATATGTCATTGCTGTTGGGATTTGTGGAGGATATTGTGCTCCAGGCGACTATGGGAGCTGGAGAGCTGGACATTCAGACCAAGACCAACGTCATCAGAGCCTTTAACAAGCTGATTTGGATCCAGAATGATTTGTTCCAGAAGCACTATGTGTCGAAACTCGAATAGATTAATGGACTGGGGCCGGAGGGAATGTAACAAATGCTGCGATTGGGAATGAGAAAGGACACAACCACTCTAGAGTTATGGCGTTTAGGGAAAATGAAACATCTCTAGACTAGGTTTGCTATTTTTTCGCCTTATTTCAGGCGTTTTATTCGGTTCAAGATAGGAACAATATAGGGAGAAATAAAATGAAACGACTTTCTCTACCTCTTACCAGCAAACTCCCGCATCAACGATGAATGCCAATAAAACGTCCTCTGGTCGGAAAAAAGGAATCCAGTTCTTGTCAATGCTGTAACCGTTTTGCACCTTGTGGTGTGATTAGTAACTCTCTAAGCCGCCCATGATTTTACCGTCTTCGTGCAACACATCCAACATACCGGAGAACGAGGACAGTTATGTGGGGGTGCGTCGCAGGAAAGAGTAAGAATGGGGTAGACGTTCAAAGAAGAAACGCACTCCAGACAGAGGCGCCCTGAGCACGGCACACAAGAAGACGAAACATGAGAAAGATCCAACAGTTGGATCGCTCCAACTGCTCCGCCTTGAAATCGCGAAACAAACCGATCATCGCTGCTGCACACGACGAAAACTCGTCAAGTTGGGAGTCTCGTTCGTCTCTTGACGGTGTACATGGCTTGCGTGTTGACATCATAGGCAACGCAGCCGACTCCAGTCTGGCGGCTACAGCATCTCAACCAGGCAGGGCGGATCGAGATGCTGGAGTTGAGAGGAGATGCCGTGAGCCAATATGCTTGCCGCTCTGCTTGGAGCCTCCCTTCCCAGTGGCAAGGGGCCATTTTGTATGTTCATGCCATGCCATGCTAAGTCACGTCCTGGAGCAAACAGAGCCCAAAACGAAATGAGCACGAGCGTTTCCCTGAAGCAGGAACCCGTGGGAAAGCAAGCCTGGTGAGAAAAAGACGGGCTTTTATCTAAATCTAGGTTTCCGTCTCCTCATATCAGTTGCGTGCATGCTCGTGGCGTCGGGCTAGGCTCCTCTAACTCGTTTCCCCCCTGGTAAAAATATCCAGCCATGTAACTTTGTCTTATATAAGTCAGTCAGCTCCATCGACTATCCACAGGAAGAAACCCTTTTGGAGAGTGTTAAGAGGAGAAACATGACACAAGCGCCAAGTTTGATGGTTGCCCCTGGGTCGTTTGCTCTTATGAGTGGCAGGCCGGAGCGCACCCCGTAAAAATAAAACTGGAGAGATCTGGGCATTTCATCAATCCACCGCGAGCTGTGGTTCAGCCGGTGGAAATTAGGGGTGAGCTTCTCGACTCGACCTAACAAGGCGGACTCCCGAGGATTGGTCGGCTTCTGGTTTTCAGGGCCTGCCGCGTCATCGATCGACAGGCATCGAGATGGCGGTGTTTGATTTGCTCAAGAGAGCCAAGGAGAGCTTAGCTTTTTTTTTTCTTCCTTGGGCTGCTTTCTTTTTATTATTCGTTCCTTTTTTCGTTGACAGTCGAAGGGTGTGACAGCCAGCAGCAAGAAGGCTCGGTGACACAAAGTGGAAGGTTGGACGAAACTTAGGAAGCAGCTGGTTTGTTTATCTAGACTCGCAGCGAGACATAAAAGGTTCGAGGTATATAAACATATATATGTATATGCAATACCTCTATATGCTCCATTTATATGATAATGGATTCACCGTGTTGGTTTCTGTTCGCGCATGGAGAACCGCTTGTACATAAGTGTTTGGCTACCAAGCATGATCTTCAGGAACGAGTATCATGCCCGTCATCTCGTCGTCTCTTCTCCTTGCTCTTGCTGCTGATTGTGGCTACGGCTCTGGCTTCGGTAGTCTGGTTCAGTATCGAAATGCGGAGTAAGCCATTGACTGCATGCACTGATCAACAAGTACTAAGGCGTTAGGCGTCGATAGCTGCTGTGCAGTGCCAGAAATTCAGGAGAGAGAAAAGACGCAGAATCCGGCATATGAAATTGGCATTTCAGAGAGCCGAACTGCGCACGAAACGCCTGTGTAAATGTCGATATATCGCACGGGAATTATATATTCGTTCGTATGTGTACTCCGTAGTGTGAAGACATCGTCAACCTTGTCACAGAGCCAGCGTTCGAGAAGCGTCTTCCCACTCGCACTGACAAGGGGAGGGCGCCACAAACGGTCAGCCGAAGGGGGGGAGCAGTCGAACAGCAGGAAGACCGCTTATTGCGAGCTCGACTTGTGACACCCTGGCGACGGAGCACACACAACACCACTATATCAACCACTATCACGGCCAGAGACACTGATTCAGAAGTGATGAAGCCTTAAGAGCCGTCTGTTAATCCATCATGTGTACTCCGTATCCGTAAAAGAGAGAGAGAGAGATAGGGAGGAGGTTGGGTTGCGGTCCGGCTAACCCGATCGGGCAGCCCCTTGCTGTTTAATGCCAACGACGTCTCTCGCGACTCCTCGACCTCAACCCAGCAAGCAAGCAATAATAATAACCTCCTAACCGCCGACGAGCAGTGGTAATTATCCGCAAATACAAAGACGGGCACGGCGAGTCAGCGGCAAGAGAGATGCCTGGAGGAAGACGGCGTAAATTATCAGGATGGCAGTCTTCATCTCCGACTGGTTAGAGGACATGGGCGGCTAGACAAGAGTGATGAAGTGTACCTGCAGGAGCCAGGAACACCCACCGATTGGCAGGCAGTGGCGCAGATCAACTTTGCGGTGCTTCTCGTCCTCTTGTCAGACGACGACGCTCGCTGAGCCCGAACCTCTCGAAAGGAGCGCACATAGAGAGAGGGCCGTGAAAGAGACAGAGACAGAACTCGCAGGTGAAAGGGGGCGCTTCCCCGTCTCTAGGGCCCTTCTCTACCGCCCCAGGCAGGCGTACAGGCCCAGTCAAGGTGTCGCTATCCTAGTGGCGCTGGGCTCGGGGCCCTGGGCGTGGCTAGGGACAACCAGCAGGGCCGAAGGGGGCCACGCAGCCAATTGGGACAGGCAGATGGCAGGCAGGAAAAAGGAAGCGCATGTCAGGAACAAAACACGGCCGGGGTGGGCGACAAAAAAAGGGCTTACTCCACTGATGATAACCTGCCGCTTGCGCTGTCGACCCACGTCTACGTGGGTAGGGATGGGAGTGGACAAAAAAAAAAATAGGAGATGAGCCAAGGGGGCGGAAGAAGTTGATTCAGATGTGCATGGGCAATCTCCCATGGCCCCCTTGCACAAGGGAGATACAAAAAGGGCCCATGTTCCACCGAGTGCCTCGTTTCCCTCTCTTCCTCTTCCTCCTGCTCTCTCTTCCTCTTCTTCTGTACATCCATCCATCAGATCTATCTCAAAGACCTCGGTCGTCCTACACTCTTTTAACTACCAGTCACTCTTTAAAAAACCAAGCACACGAATTTCCCAATCCTACGCTTCTTTCTATTCTCTTTTTAACGACTCTTCGAATTCGACTCTAGCAGTTCTTTTTCAAACACACATACACATTCAAGATGCGTTTCTCAGTTGCTTCCGCTGCTCTCTTCGCTGGTGCCGCTGTTGCCATGCAGGGCTATGGCAACAACAACGGCTACGAACACCAGGGCTACGGAGCTGAGGGCTATTCCACCGTCTACTCTACCAAGGAGGTCACCATCACCTCCTGCGGCCCCGAGGTCACCGACTGCCCCGGAAGCCAAACTCCCGTTCCTCCAGTTCCTACCACCTCCGCCGGCGAGCCAGTCCCTGTCCCAACTTCTTACTCTACCGAGTACGTCACTGTGACCGACTGCCCACCAGAGGTTACCAGCTGCCCGGCCTCTTCCACCCGTGTTGAGACCAGCGTTGTCCCAGCTCCTACCTCTGAGCCAACTGCTATCCCAACTGAGCCATCCACCAGCGAGACCGCTCTCCCGACTGAGTCTGTCCCCACGGGAACTGGCAACCTCCCCATCCCAGTCCCATCCGGCACTGGCACTGGTGTCCCAACTGTCCCATCCGGCGGTGTTCCAACTGAGATCCCACCATACCCAACCAACGTTCCCCCAAGCCAACCATCTCCAAGCGTTTCTGTCACCTACATCGCCACCTGCGTGCCAACTGTCATCACCTCTACCGTCACCCTGCAGCCAACCCCAACCGTTGTCCCAACTGGCGGTGTTCCCGGAACTGGTGCTCCTGGCATCCCATCCGGCACTGGTGTCATGCCAACTGGAACCGGTGTCTTGTAAGTTTTTTCTCCTTTTCTTACATTTTTGCGGCTTATTTTTATATACGATTTGACTAATAACTGGTAACAGCCCAACCACCGCTCTCCCAACTTACACCGGTGCCGCCAGCACCCTCTCCGGCTCTTACGCCGTTGCCGGTCTTGCCGGTCTCGCCGCCATCTTCCTGGCATAAATTTCTTCTCTTCTTTAATGACTCCCATTAGCTCACGTCTTCCGCCCTCAATCTGTCATTTGGTTCCGGCGAGAAATAATAGCTACGGGGTATTAATTTCCTATTTCTCTTCCTCTTTTGGCTCTTCTTGAACATAGTGTGCATGGCAAATTAGATCCACTCTAGACAAGAACTTCGAATATTTCGATCGGGACAACGGCATTTTGGGTTCTTCATAGGGAGATTTGTGTGCTTTGGTTTTTTATTTCCTTTATTGCCCTCCTTTATTTGATACGTGGTTAATTTATGGACTTTGCTTGAAATTTCTCAACACTTTCCTAACTTTTACAGCTTACTTGCTACCGATATACCTCTTAGTAATTTTTTCTTTTTAATCAGTTGGAGCTGTTCTCGATTTCCCGCAGTTTTCGCTCTCTAAATTTGCCACGTCTATACATAAAGAGAGGTGCAAGAGCAAAAGAGACCAGCACACAAATTCCCTGTTTCTCCTATTCCTGTTCAAAATCAATAGGTAGGGCTCAAACATCGTTGGGCCGGCCAAAGAAATTCAACATCACACTTTTTATCTTTACCTGCAATTATTTCCTCTCTTTCCATCCTCGAGGCGCTTAGGAGCAAGATCTTCGTTTCAAGATGCCCAATAATGAAAACCAACATCCTCCGTGCCTTGCCGTTGCCGCCATCCCTGCCAGACTTCGCCTCAGGCCGCCCCCATGTCCTCTCCCCGTATTTGTACTTAACCGCCGCTGCTTGCCCAGTTAAGGTTGCTCCTGATCGATCTCTATCTTCCTTCACACTCAGAGAGATCTACAATCTCATCCCCAACATCCAACATTCAATCCTTCGCAATATTTTGATCCTTTTTCCACCCTCCCTTGCCTAATTACGGAGCACAGGACGCCCACATCTAATCGCATATCATGACGCAGTGTTCATTTAACGTGATGTATTAGGTCAACCTTATCATTTCGCTGCAACTCTATCCGGCGGGACTGCGTGTTTCAGGCTTGTCGCGGTGTCCACTCAGAGCCCCAGGATCCCGTAATTAGAAACAGAGGGGAAGCCCACAGAGAACGCAAGTAAGCAAGTTTCAAAGGTACTCCAACCGTGCCGTCACTGACGGAGATTTCCTGATACAACTCTACCAGCCAGGAAATTCTTCAATTATCACCCTCATTACTCCGTACATAGTTGATTATTTCATCCAGTGACATTGATACTTAGGTTGCCAAGCCATGTCCGGTCCTCGTCAGCAACCACCACTTCGCTAGTTCTTGCATGGATGCGTGAAATGCAGTAATGTCTCTCTCGTTTTGAATAATGCACGCAGGCAAAGGAGGTAGGCATCTCTTTATGTCTGGTTATGTCACGCTGCTGCCTGAACTGGCATCGAGGGGGCGGCCCTAGGACAGCGAGCCTATCACATCTCGACCAATTTAGACCTGTGAAGAGCAATGGCGCCGATAGCACTGTGCTTGGTCATCATGCTTGCATTGGCTGGTTATAACCATAGCCTCACCTGGAAGCTCGAGCACAGCGAGCACTATAAATATAAATTCTAACATCAGCATGCTTATAGGTTGGTCTCTTCAGCCTAAGGATCGATTATTCATTGGCATCAAGCGCCCAGTTCAGGCTGGGAGAATCAATACCCTTCCTGTGAGAAATACTCATTACATACAGGCTTGGACAAACGACCGGCAAGCATGGAAATACTGATTAGTAAGCTTTCGAAAGAAGCCATAGTCACGTGAGTATCCGCCTTGGCATTAATAGCTTCGTCCCTGCCAAGACGGGAGTCTTTCCTGTCTATTACGTCACTTCGACGTGCCTGCCAAGTGAATAACCTCCTGGCCTTCTTTTGCTGCTTCAATGCTCGCATTCACTGCTCTCCTTCTTATTTAAAAGCCGTCATATTGACGGCGCTTCTTCCTAAAATTCCTTCATCTATCTCTTCCCTCGACGTCTTCTCCTGCTATTATGGTAATCCTATCAGGATCCCCAAACCCTCTCTGAGACATCAAACCATGTCAATGGAGACGTTCCGTTTGACTTTGGGCCGTGGTATGCTATATTGTATGCCAGGCTATTATACCCGGGCGGAGGTGACTGGCAGTTACTTCTGCTACCACTGTTACGTGATCAGCTACCTGGGAAAGTCGGCTCTTACAGCTCCGCCTTTCTAGTACAGAGTATACACCATGGACACGATGTTGCGAGCTCAAGAGATATGTGACCTGCTGAGACTAACTACAGCAAAACAGGCCAGATCATATGATCACATCTCCGTATTCAGCAAAAGATCGAAAACAACACAAAAAATACGACAAGGAAAGAAAAGCATCATCGGGCAGCACGATATTCAAATGGCATCATAGTTGATTCAGTGGCCCGAAAACTCCTCTCTGGATATTAGGGTCAAGAAGCATGCGCTAAAGGACAGGTAAAACTGGCTTGGCCTAGATTGTGGACCGAGGAGCTTCCCCGAATCATGGTGCAATACTTCCTGGAAGAAGACTAGCGCCCTAAGCGCCGCGAGTGAGCAATTTCAGTGAGTTGGAGGCGACTCCCCATTTTTCCTTCCGTGTGGGAGAGGAAATTTGTGGATTTAAGGGAGCATGGACATTTAGGACATCCACAGCCCTTATCCTCAGCCTTAGAGTAAGGATCAAACCGCTGGGCCAAAAAGGAAAAGCCCCTAAATGGCTGCAGAAAGCGTCGCTATATCATTGACAGTAAGTTATCATACCGCTAGAGGTATAAAAGCAGCTCTACCTTCATCACCAACCATCTAACCACTGCCAGGGAATAACGACTACACCGTTGTTGTCAAATGTCATATCTTCGACGATGCGACCTCTGCCGCGGTTAGACAACTGATAAATAGAGTCGTGGCCTGATCATGCGTGTGCCTCATAGCAATTTTTCTTTCGTTAGAGACTCTCCCAGGAGCCGAAATGCTGCTTGAAGACGCCAAAGACCCTGTTCCTGTTGGTAAACTTGCTGCGTCGGTCGCTTTACCTATAACTACGTCTGCCTCCTCTACAATCTCTTTCTAGCGCCGCGACGCCATCTACCGTCGCCATAACTAACTGGGCTATTAATATCCCTACTCACTACAAGCTCAACGACATCAGAGCACTACTCACCACTATAACTGACGCTAACTCTCCTACCTTAAAGTCTCTGCTCATCGATATATTTCTGGTACGGAGTACTTCAATCAAGCTTCCGCTCTGCCAGCTACAAGGTGCGCTGGGCAAACTTCCCCGTCGGCTCTGACTCCTGGCACCCATCATCGCATGTCCCGGACGCTACCCTCCTCATTCAGTTACTTTTACGAGGTCATTGAGTCCCGGCGGGTAGACGGCAGGGCGACATACTGTCCGGGTCCCCGCGGCAGGGCGACGAGGGAGGGGCTGCAGGGAGAATAGCGGCAGAGTAAAAGGATTACGCCAGGTGATAGTTACGTGTCCTACACTTCCGCTACTTCTGCTACAGCTGCCCCGGACCCCTCTTGTACTCAGTAACGATCAGTATAGTTACGAATATACACCCATACCATGCTCTTCCTGGACTTTTATCGATTTCCTTACAGTTTTACAAATCGATACCAGGAAAATGGTCCTCCAGGTCAAGATTATCTTGTAACAGAAACAAAGGCATTGTAAGGCGGGTGTTTTATGTGTGTGCTTCTGTCTTATGTATATTCACATTAACTACTTTACGTTACAATAAGATTTTCAACTTCCCTCTGAAATATTTATCATTTCTGGTCACTAAAAGCGGCCAGTAAGGGATGTGGGCTTAGCGGCATCCTCTTTTCATACTAAACTGGGTGGTTCCCCTTTACCATCGGTCAGGGCTGTTGGTTTAGTGGTACCCTCCTCTCAAATTGAAGTTATCCTCATCTAGATTAGGATGCGAATTACGCTGCTTTATCTTCCTGCTTATTCACCTGAATTATCCCTGCTTCGTGAGAATGCACACGGATGCACCTGAATGCAGCCGAATGTAACTGCAAGGGGGGCCCCCTAAATATAGTAGGGGAAGCTATCCAATTAACTATAAAATCAGTAGTATGTGCGAAATTGGGTTTGTTTATTCTTTCCTTTTAGCTCCCGCCCCCTTACCACACCAAGTAACACAAGGCTCGTGGCGAAGGATTTGACTAATAGGCGCAAGTTCGTTCGGCTTAAGCTAAGATCGATCACAGGATTCACTATAGCTGGCCTGGTAAATGTTGGAAATACTTAATACCGTGATCTAGTTATCTATTATGTGACTAAATATCCAGCTATCAGGGGAAACTGAAGAAATGCATTTCTGCCTTTTCGTTAACGCCGTAGCCATACAGGATTTCATACTACATAAGTGAAATTCCACAACACAAATATAAAACCGAGAAGAGAATGCTACTAGTTACAGCTCTTTTTGGATAGAATTATTGTACTTACCTTTTGATACCCAACCAAATATGGCGGACCGCTGCACCACCTTTCTAACAAGTTTAGACATTCTGCCTACTCCTCCCTAGCAGGAAAACAGCATAACTAAGAGCTAAGAAACTCCCTATACTCGGAAACTACGCAAGTCGCCGCCTTTATCTTCAAGATTTCTAATCAAACCATCTAAATCCGCTAATACACCGGAGGCTAAGCGACAATCTACTAAGTTCTGCCGGATTGGGAACCTATAGGATAACTATTCTAGATTTACAGTAGAAGGGATATCAAAATCCATATACCTAGCCTTCGAGCTAACGCCTTCATATAGTATTATTACTATCAAGGAAAGCCAAAAAGTACCTTCGATAAGCCACCGGCAGCATATTATGAAGACTTCTCACACAAATATTATGAACCTAAAGGATATATATATTAACGGTGAAACTATTTTCTTTATCTATAAGAGGATGCAGCTGTCTATTAAGTATATCTACTCAAGCCTATAGCTTGAGAATATTCACATTGCTACAACCTATAGAGAGGTTTAACACACTTATATCCCTCATAAGGTCCCTAGCTAAGAATCTCCGATCTAGCAGGTTCTTCTCGGTATATCCTATATTCATAAGGAACTACACATCGCTTATGGAGATATAAGCTGACAAAACACCTTTATGTCTCATACTGGACACATTAAAATAGGTAAGGTGGGATGCTAGATTAGGTATCTTTTATATGTGACCTATTATTCAACCTATGTCCGTTTTCTAGGTGATATTAGGACAAGCATGCTATTGCATCGGAATGAGAAAAATCTCGATATTCAGGCAATTGGGTATATGGTTCGGGAAATCATAAAACCGGGAAATAGTAAACTATACCCACGAAAATTTTCACTTAAAGACCCTTCAAAATGGAATTCGGATATGCTTGACTTCTTTAAATAGACTAAGAAGTCTTCGATACTAGATCTACTCAACATATGTGCCCTTTTCCTTTATCTAGAAGATGATTTGCTAATTGAACAGCATACCTTTCTGGTGGAGTGCAAAAATAGCCCGGGGTGCTTAGGTCCATTAGCTATAATGGCCACCAGGCGGACAAAGACCGTATGGGAGCCTTTTGACCTCTAACTATATGAAGGTGGGAGGTATAATTGCAGGCTTTCAGAGAACGAAGAGCTCCAAAAGGCCTGGTTCAACGCGTTCTCTACTCTTGAAGATCTTCAGCTGAAGTTGAGAGAGCTGGAGGAAGTTAGGAAAGCCGATAATGAGCGGTTTAGAGCCACAATATATCAGCTTGAACAGGAACTTCAGAATCGCAATAATACACAATCCCAAAAAGGTGGAATCCCGTCCCTCCTTAACCCCAAGCCCATGACGGCAGATGTAGGACACACCATCGCTTTGAGCCAAGAGTAGGGGAGACAAAGAGATGATGAGGTTTACTTCCTGGTTATACACTCTGTATTCCCCAATCTAGCTTCACATTATGAATTCCACCGTGTTGAGAAGCGCTTGAGATAAGGTTGGATGTTTGGCGCGGTATTCTCGTTTCTTTTGTGAACTTTACTTCATTAGGCGATGAAACAAACGTTATTTGCTAAACCGTTAAACCGCGCGTCCGCTTACCAGTAATATCAAAAACAGCGCTTGAACAGGCCCCTTGCAATCAAACACTATAGCCGCCGCTCGATAACACTCGCAGAGCATTGAGGCACAACATCCAAAAATTGAAAAGTGGACAGCACTTTGTCTCTTATTTACCATAATGTGAGGGGAGGAGAAGGAGGAATATTCGACATCGTAGGATTGCCGTATCCCCACCTAGACACCTGGAAGCCCACGGTAAGAGGATGGCGCATTGTATCTTTCAACTAGCAATCTGTTTTCTAGGAATTCCACACTCTACCTCTATGTTTGACGTTAAAATAAAATTCTAAGGCAACAGCTGGTTAAAGTTTGATTTCACGAACTCTCAGTAGCAAAAGGAACACTGAAATTTAGATAGACACGACTGCTTAACAGGTCCAAAAGTTAAAATGAATGTGGAGTAACTAGTTACTGAGCTGAGACCATCTGCGGGTCTCCACTTAAGAACATGCGGGGTTGTCTTAATATATGACCAAACTCGACCCAGATAAACAGATGGAGGGGAGATGTATTGTTAGTGTTATAACTGGTGAATAGCGATATGGCGACGATGTCTACTTAGAGAGTAGAATACAAAGTTGTAGCTTCGGCAAGACGCAGCAGAGTAACAAAAGGGTGTCTCAGCAGCCAGACAAACATAGGAAAAGGATAGATAATTAAAGTCGATACTCGATGGTGGCTGGATGGCCGCAGCGTCTATGCTGCGGCTATTTATCCGTAAAAGCGCGGCAGCCAGCTAGCGGGCGCCCCGTTAACCGATATGAGACAGGGGGTGGCGGCAGTGGCTTATTGCGCCTGGCAGTACACTGGTTGGGGACTGATATCGAGTACATTAAAATAGGAGTTATTGATATACACACAGATAAAGGGAGAGAAATTTTGGAGGGACAACATTAAGAATCAGCGAAAATCCATCGCTGGACTTGCATAAAGGTCTCATAACCACCGTTCCACTCAATAACTGCTCTATCGAGGGCTGAGTCCTTCACAATTTCCTCGATAGTATAATGTTTACTATCTCCTGCTAGCTCAAAAGTCGCCCCATTCAAACCTGGTGGATCTGGGCGGTAACAAGATGTAACTGTCGGGATGTATGGACTACTCGTTGAGTGCAATGTACTTGGTCTGCCTTCCTGGGTATAAGCGTCTTCAGTTATTAGTTTTCCCGAGTAGAAGCCCGAAAGGAACCCGATATACCCCGTGCTACGTACCTCCAAAAGCCATTCCCAATGTAGGATTTCCCTTCGGCTTGTAATTCATTTTAGATTGCTGGTTGTTGTATTGCCCTCGAGGCCGGTCCTCATCGGTCGACTTGTCCTGTGATATTGGTTTCCAGAGAGGGAGACAACACAGCAATTGGGAAAGCATATTTTTAAATCTCGCAAGAGAGTTATAAGGGATCAGACAGGACTATGGTGTGAGTAAAATAGAAAGGTGCCTGAGCCGAGAGGAGCGGTGAGCAGCTCTCTTATATATAGTCGACTCCAAACCAAACATTATGGCCCAGGCTTCACTATGTAATCCGGGCTTTAATACATATACATATATAGATCGTCGAGATTTTGAGCCGATTATTTATGTATAGTAAACTGGCCCACAGAGATTTTAGTTAATCACGCCCAGAAAGTGAGAGTTTAATGTCAATCAATGTCAAAGTGGGCTCCTTACCCGGGGATACGAACTAACTAACTAGTTAAAGGGGCCGCTAACCCCCCGACCACAAATCATACTTTGGTGGTGACTTTTTTGGTTTTCGCAGAACACCACTTCTTCTGGATTTGTCCCCTGGAACTCACACTGTTGACCTTCGTGTGGTCCGCGATGTCAGGGCTCTTGGGGCTGTTGGCGAACCGTATATCAATGTTACGCACATTGCACAGGAGTTGTCTAAAACACTAAATGTGGACAAAAAGAGTATTCTCGTTGCAGATGTTGTTGAAAATCGTTTGATTAGCCCGTATGCTTCTGTTACTCTCCATAATACCATGGGTAATCCTGTTGATGTGGTTGGCATCAAGGAAGATGGCACCCAGGTTAGGATCATCCGTTCTATAGTCTTATCACATAGCTAACCACTTATAGGGCCGCCAGCTTTTTCTTTGAATATGTTAAACAACCATGTGAAGCTAGAGGGGAGCACAATCCTCGCGCAATTGGGTTTTCAATTGAGGGGAAAGATAAAACCAATGTTCCA